CGCCAGTTTCTTTTTTTTTTTTTTTTTTTTTTTTTTAATAACAGAACAACAAAATAAAAGGAACGCCAAGCTCATGCTTCAGCAAAGCTGTGCGGCCAGGGGCAATCTGCTTAGAGAGAGAGAGAGAGAGAGGCCGAATGCCACATTTATGCAGTTGTTGGCAAACAGGTCATGAGTTGAGGGTCCCACTGGAGCAAGAGGCTTCGCAGAACGAGTCAAAAGAAGAAAGGGCAGGTGTTCATATTGAGCAGCATTTGAACTCGGGACATGTCTGATATATAACAGTTAAATGTCTACTGCTCTTCACGTCAGGCAATTATGTCTGATAACAATAAAACGCTGGACCCCCTGACTGTACATGGACCTAGGTTGAGACCAGGTACTCCGGCAAAACGTCGCACATGGCCACGACCTCCACTCAGTAAAAAAAACGAAGCCCAGCACAAAACGACAAGCTCAGAAGTGTATGCCTGCAAAACTTCGCGCCAGGCGGACAAGTACGAGGGAGGGATGCTCTCATCACCCTGTCTAGTACCACGAGCCCGTTTAATTAAAAAAAAAAAAAAAAAAAAGAACTTCGTGCATGGCCACCACCACCATCCAGAGAGAAACGAAACCAAGCAGAAAATGACAGAAGCTCCCAAGGGCCTTGCCACACGACTCTCAGAATGTAAAAAAGACAAAAAATGTGGCGGCTGCATCTGGCCATGTTCTAGGGGGAAGTTCGTGCTAATTTCGCACATTTCCAGAGTGGTGTGGCGATGCACCAAGTCTAAACGAATGACTCCAAGATCTCCTCGGAAACAACGAAAGCCCCCAGAACTATACAAACGACTCCAGAATCTACTTGGAAATGGCAAAAGCCCCGAAAACTATGGGCTTTGGTCCATTACTCAACACTCCAGATCATACTTGCAAGCAGACGGACCAGACGAGCGCCCGGTCCGGTCCGCTTGTCCGCGTCCGGCACCCTCCAGGGTAGGGGGCATTGTTGGGGGGGAGTGCACACCTCTGCAGGGTAGGAGGAGGACGAGGAGGAAGAGGATGACGAGAACGGAGGAGGAAGAGAAGAAGACGAAGGGAGGGGGAGGAGGAGAAAGGAGGAGGAGGAGGAGGAGGAGGAGGAGGA